TATTGGTTCCTAGCCACAGTTTTTTAATGCCTGAGTGGATTATTTGTTATATTTGTATGATTTTCACTCAAAGCTTTTTCTGTGGGTTTATTAAACTTGTTTAGATTGAAGGCTCAGAGAAATAAACGTTCGGAACCTTACTATCTTCCTTTTTATTATGAAGAGCGTTGAGAGAAGGGAGTCTTACGATCCAATCCTGAGAAATAAAACACGGTACATATATTAGGTCTTTAGGGAAATCGCTAAGTAGCGAAACAGGACATTTCATGTATAGGGCAGTTCATATATAGAACATTTCATGGATAGGACATTTCATTGATAAGGCATTTCATGTATAGGACATTTCATGGATAGTAAATTTCATGGATAGGAAATTTCATGGATAGGACATTTCATGAAAAGGACATTTCATGGATAGGACATTTTATGGATAGGACATTTCATGGATAGGATATTTCATGGATAGTACATTTCATTGATAGTACATTTTATGGATAGGACATTTCATGTATAGGACATTTCATGGATAGTACATTTCATGGATAGTACATTTCATGGATAGGACATTTCATGTATAGGGCAGTTCATATATAGGACATTTCATGGATAGGACATTTCATGGATAGGACATTTCATTGATAAGGCATTTCATATATAGGACATTTTATGTATAGGGCATTTCATAAATGGGACATTTCATGGATAGGACATTTCATGGATAGGACATTTCATGAAAAGGACATTTCATGGATAGAACATTTTATGGATAGGACATTTCATGGATAGGACATTTCATGGATAGGAAATTTCAAGGATAGGAAATTTCATGGATAGGACATTTCATGAATAGGACATTTCATGGATATGACATTTCATGGATAGTGCATTTCATTGATAGTACATTTCATGGATAGGACATTTCATGTATAGGACAGTTCATATATAGGACATTTCATGGATAGGACATTTCATTAATAAGGCATTTCATGTATAGGACATTTCATGGATAGTACATTTCATGGATAGGACATTTCATGGATAGGACATTTCATGAAAAGGACATTTCATGGATAGGACATTTCATGGATAGGACATTTCATGGATAGGACATTTCATGAAAAGGACATTTCATGGATAGGACATTTCATGGATAGGGCATTTCATAGATAATGAAATTTCATAGAAAGGGCATTTTATAGCTCTTCTAGCTTGGATTTGTTGCACAAGTTTGAGAAAAGCAAATACATCCGGTAACACATCAGAAATTAAAAACATCGTTGTTTTTCCCAATAGCTCTTCGAGAACAGGAGTTCTGATTGAAAACATGTAAAATTTCAATCTTACCTTAAATTTCAATTACACCTTAAATTTGCATTAGTTTGACGTGGCCAACGGCATTTTACAAATTATTACATAAAAACTGAAAAACTAAAAAAGTGTTTTAAAATGTATAGTTTAATGCGTTTTCTAAGATTCTATATACATAAACAACTAAAGGAGTTTATCTTGATTGGGCCAATGATATTTTAACTTGTTGAATCACTGTTTATATTTACAATTTACAACTTTTACAAACCCTATTCCCTTCCCCTTGGACATTCTCTCATTTATGTACGTTATACAATGTACATTGTACATACAACGAACATACTTGTAGAAAGCGAAAATTTTGCGAACGAGCGAACTTTTTTGTAAAAGAGGGTGTCGATCAGAATAAATGAGCGACAGACGAACGAAATGGATCGTTCAGAAAAATGAAAAAAATATCGTTTTTTAAAAACGAACAAAAAACACAAAAACGTGCGTTTTAAAATAATTCGAACGAACTTGAAAAACCGATTTTTTTTACTGAATGAATGAATTTTCCAAAATATTTGGAATAAAACTTTCGTTTTTTTCTGAAAGAACGATTTTTTAACTGACATTTTAAAAAAAAGATTGAGGTTTTTTACTGAACTAACAATTTTATTGAACGAACGATTTTACAGTGATCCAAACTTTGTCAAATCTCGCGCAAAAAATCGTTGAAAATTTTGACGTTATTCCTGAAAAACTAAAGCTTAAAACAAATGTCATTTAAACCTTGCCTGTTTAGGACTAAGAAAAAGTATAAGTGAGTTGGAAAGGTGAAACCAAAGGCCAAGATGATGCGACACTTTAATGTTGATCCAGTCTTGAAAATTTTCAAAGTGCAGTCTTGATATTTTTTAAAAAATAAATTGAAAAAAGTGCTGGCTTGCCCAGCCCTAACCATGCAGCAAAGCAAAGTTTATCTTTCAAAAATATTGCTGAATAATAATCATTTATGGATTATATCTTTGTTTAATGTGGAAAACTTAAATAAAACGGATTCCTTGTACTGCATTGCAGAACACTTTCACTGGTATACAGGGTAAAAAATCGGGACATGTGTTTATTAAAGGAGTGTTCGCGAAAAATAGGCTTACGGCGAAAACTAATCGCTTATAATCGCTACTAATTTTACTTCTCCTTAACAATTTTCTCCTTATAGACGCAACAGATAGAAGTAAGAATAGTAGCGATCAAAAGCGCTTATTTTTTTGCCGTAAGATACCCCCTTTAATTTTTCGTGAACACTCCCTTTAAATTACAAATTTTCATAAAAATCTATTCAGAAATAAAAGAGATAGAACAAAAATCCGCAAAATATCTACACCAAAGATTACAAGATGAGTATGTGTTGTTAACTTTGAATTATATATATTTTCAATCATATTTTCAATATTGAAATTGTTGCAAGATACACTTTTCTTTTTTTAAAGAAACACTTTTGAATAGAAAAAGCCAAACATTTGCTTTATAGAGATTTATTTCTTCTTTTTCAAAAAAATGTTTTGCACTTGTTTCACTTTATTGCAGTGTTTTTAAACTAAAACGCCCTGCACACATTTTCATAGCGTTTTGTAAAACAACTCTTTTTTTTAGAACTAAAAAAATTATCGCGAAAAGGAATTTGTTATTCATCAATAAAGATACATATCCAATAAGCATAAATCATCCTACAATGCGCCTCGGTATGCATTAAAAAACAATTAAATGTTGTACAGAGCCAATAAACTTTAATACTAGGAAGATTCCAAATGATGTAAAAAGTAACTGAATTGAATTTTAAACAACTTGTATAAACAAATGTGTGCAAATAAGATGGGGAATGGTGACATAATGGTATTAAGTTTGAATTACGAAGCAATTGGCCAACATTTTATGTGTTTACATTATGCAATGAAATAAGTAGGACAGCGAACGAAAAATAAAATTCCCTCTATAAAGAATTATATCTTTCTCAAAAAAGGCATAATTAAAAAAAATTAACTGAAAAAAATGCTTTTAAAAAAATTGAAATATGAATTAATGATAAAAAAATTTTAGATTCCCTCTTGTCAAATTTTATGAAATTAAAAAAAAAAAATTTATTTTGTCTCTGGTTTCTTTGTAAAATATTTGCTAGATGAGGTTGTTTTTGTTAAATTTGGTTAAAATGTGAAAATAAGTGGCTTTATTAACTATTCAAACTAGATGTTAACACTCATCCATCCAAATAATTTTTAAAACTCAGGTTTCTGAAACAATAGCCACAACTACTAATTTACGAATGCCTATATCTTTCAAACCTAGATGTTATTATTAAACAAAATTCAAAATTTGAAATATCTCTCGGTGATTTGAACAATCGATGAGTATTTTTCCAATTGCTAGGCCTTAAAAGGCCTTTAAAATTGCGATACTTAAAAGTCAACCCTCTGTCTTGAAAATTGATGCAATTATTCATAGCACACTGAATCTATGTGATCTGTGGTCTACGACGTCAGATTGCATGGATATTGGGATAAGAAAACTAGAATTTTCTCAGAAAATAAGGTACCTTAAAGGTGTCTAAACAAAAAGTTAATTTTTGATCGATTAAAAATAGAATTGGTGTTCCCGATAGTTTTCCGGTGGTGCAAATAATTCCCTAGAGCCTAGACCATAAAAAAATATTTTCTCCGAGAATCTAAATCTTATGCATCCCAATCTAGACAGAAATGGAAGGTTCTAGGACGAATTATCGACATGCCTTCGTGACCTCGTAGCTCCTCTATTTGTTAATACTTATTATCCAATTCAAAACTTTTTGATTCTTCTCAGCAAGGATGTAATGCAAGGAAAGTTATTTCAGAAGTGAACACATCTTTTGTACTGCAGTGTACTGTCTCTGGGCGGTAATGTAAACACAAGACGGATGTCAAAACCTGACATGGGATCCATCTTTCACATAAAAAAATCAATGAAATATTCTGGTCATAGGAAACTATTATGTGAATAATCAAAATTATCAAAATTTAATGCTTTTAGCCTCCTCGGATACTAAACTAGACAGGGTAAATATAATTTCCTTTCTTGGGTCTGATACATTTATTTAGATTTAAATCTAACAAATTGAAAAAAAGAATATCAAAATAACCTCTTTCGATATAATTTCTTAGCAACCCATTCTTGAAACCCAGTTCACGAGACTGGGTTTCATAACTGTACCCCGTCTTAAGTTTTGGGCTCAGTATGGCAACCTTTGTGCCTTTGTGCAATGTGCATTGCGCTTACTTCAATGTACCCTTTTAGGTGCGTTTTTAGTTTAGTGCGTAAATAAAGAAATAACTTTCTTAAATTTGACTTCTTTATTCTTTATTATACCATTGTTTTGATGAAAAATATATTCACTACACTTTTAAAGATTAGTTTGTGGAAAACAGTAGAAAATATTGAGTCCTTGATTTTGATAAATGTTTCCCACACAGGACACACTGGACTAACCAGAGCATTCGGTTTCTTCTATTTTAAATCAAACCTTGTTTTGGTCTATAATTCAACAATCTTTTACCTTACGGATTTGTTTATTCTATACTTTTTATTCAAAATACATATGCCGACAAAATATTTTTTATGAAAAAAAGCTATATAAATTATGTTTAATAGTCAAATTGTGATTGAAAGTCACAGCTTTCTGGAATATTGACAGAACCGTTAAGTCCATGTGAGGATGATACTTAATGACGACTTAAAACTCTTTGGATGCAACGATTTAAAGGTTAAACCTTTCTGGTCTGGGGAGGGGTCAATTTTACCCCCCCCCCCCCATCGTTTTTTATGCGATAACTTAAAACAATTTTGAGCTAGGAAGCTCAAATTTTCTGGTTTTCGAACTAACTAGAGCTGGGCTTTTATACCTACGGCCGGAGTCCTCAGGCATGCTGCCTACATGCCTTATTTTTTACCTACACCAGACTAAGTCTATATTTAGACCTACTTCCAGGCATTGCATGGATTTAAACATTGTATAGCTCTTTGGAAAGTTTCTAACAAAAGCAAAGAAATTTTGCACAGAGTTTTGCACAGACGCCACTAAAGGGAATTTGCACATTTTCAGTTTTTCTTGAATACACATTTAGGTTTTAAAATTTTGCAAATGTTTTTGCACATTTGAATTTGCTGGGTCAAGGGCTTTTCACAAATGTGTAATTTCTTGCAATTTGTGCAATTTTTTGTTTGCACATTTTTTGCTTAATGACCAGATTTAGCAATAAATATTTGGATTTTTGTGAATTTGTCATTTATTTTCAGTTTATCGAGGTAGAGCCCAAAGGCTTTTCACATGTTATAGATTTGTATATAACAATAAGAAAACAGAGTAGGGGGGGGGGGGTCAATGTGACCCTTCCCCCAAGGGAGCCAGCCAGTTTACCAGACGTCATTTAGGCCAAATAGGGTAAATTTTGGGTGTTTGCTCTTATTGCACTCTTTGAATGGTATTTAAAAAGATTATATATTATAGTCCGGGCTCTGGATTAGCAAGATATTGCTAGTTTAGTTTTTATTACCTATAGTTGTAACTACAGTGCTCTTTGTGAAGTCTACTATTGAAGCATGAAGGAACAATGCAGCTACACCTAAATTAGATTAATTTAAATATATATATGATGTAATGTGTTTTCAGCTGCATAGGAAAAATCTAGTGAACTATTTTTTTACATATCAAGATGGAAAACAATTTTTTTAAATATGTTTCGTTCTAAAAAAATACTTCGAGTAATTTCTCACAAGCAGCCAGCCACTGGGTTCGCTAGACAAGCTGGTACGAGAACATGTTTACACAAGACCAAAAAATCCTTGTTCCGGTTCGGATCATGCAAGGTTAGGACCCATGTGTCCTAGTCTTACCATCCTTGATTCTAGCAATTCTATAAGTTATAATTTTCAAGAGAAATATTGTCCAAGGTTTTGAGATTATTTGTGGCAAATTTAATAAATAAAACTGGTAAGAACTAATGAGAAGTTCAAGAGATTTTAAACTGACAGCCTTGTAACTACAGTGAGAACCAGAAAATTGGGGAAAAGGAAGACGACATTATAGCAACAATTAAGTGTACTTGATGTGTTTACAAAGCAAGTAGTTTTACTTTTAACTTACTATTCACTTAACTGCACAATTCCTATGTTTCATAAACTGTGGAATGAATGTCGTCTTTGTAACTGTGGATTAAATGGCGTCCTTGTAACTGTGGAATAAATGTCGTCTTTGTAACTGTGGAGTGAACGTCGTCTTTGTAACTGTGGAATAAGTGTCGTCTTTGTAACTGTTGAATGAATGTCATCTTTGTAACTGTGGAATAAACGTCATCTTTGTAACCGTGGAATGAATGTCGTCTTTGTAACTGTGAAATTAATATTGTCTTTGTAACTGCGGAATGAATGTCATCTTTGTACTTAGTTTGAATTGAAAATGTCTCCAAGGAATTGCAATTGTTGCTACTGATGTATATCTATAAAAATGTGCAGGGCACTTTTGATTAGAAAAGTTTAGTTGCGAATCTATAGCGACCATATTCTAAAGAAATGCGGCAAGAATTCCGTTATTTTCTGGTTCTCACTGTTTAATGTATAACCATACCAAGTGAGGCGAAAACGATGAGAAGCCATAATATTTTCCCGCCAGATTTCACCTTGAAAATAAGGGAGAAAGGATTAGTATCAGGTTTTTCAATGATTAGGAAAATTGATTTTCAAAAAGTGACATTACTTTTTCAGAAAAATCATTCTTAATGTCCTTCGAACTCGAAAGAAAATTATTTTTTTTTCAAAATTATTATTTTAGGATCTAGATTTTACTAAATTAATTGCTCAACACTTTTGATATTTGTTGTTTGACATTTTGTCCTTGATTTTATTCTTAAAAATTGTTATTGATTAGCAAAAGATGATATTCTAATATATTGTACAACATACATGCTGCATTATTATATTTTTATATACAGACGTTTAAACGTTTAGTTTAGACAAGATTAAAGAAAATTTCAAAGTGTAAATATATTCAGAACAGAAAAAAGCAAATTGAATTCTGGTTTCTTTACATATCACACTCCTGTTGAAAATAGATTACGTTACAAATCATGAAAAGAGTCTGCAACCATACTTTTATATCATCATGAAAACTTCCCCCCCCCCCCAACCATATCAAATTATGTATGGTATAAGTATAAGAAACCAGTTAGGTAACTCGACCTAACCCGACCTAACCTGACCAAACACAACCTAGGGGGACTGGTCATTTTCTGACCAGTTAGGTCTCCTGACATAACTCAACCAATCTCGACCAAATCCGACCTAAGTGGATTGGTCAGGCTAAGACATGTACGAGACCAGTTTTGTAACTCGACCTAACCCGACCTAACCTGACCAAACACGACCTAGGGGGACTGGTCATGTTCCAACCAGTTAGGTCTCCTGACATAACTCAACCAATCTTGACCAAATCCGACCTAAGGGGATTGGTAAGGTTAAGACCAGTATGAGAAAAGTTAGGTAACTCAACCTAACCCGACCTAATTTGACCAAACACGACCTAGGGGGACTGGTCATGTTCCGACCAGTTAGGTGTCCTGACATAACTCAATTAATCTTGACCAAATCCGACCTAGTGGATTGGTCAGGTTAAGACCAATAATAGACCAGTTAGGTTATTCGACCTAACCCGACCTAACCTGACCAAACACGACCTAGGGGGACTGGCCATGTTCCGACCAGTTTGGTAATCTGACGTAACCCGACCTAGGGGGACTGGTCATGTGCCGACCAGTTTGGTAATCTGACGTAACCCGACCTAACCCGACCTTTCTCGACCTAATGGGACTGGTCGCGCGACGTCGTTGGTTGCTAGGGTAATTTTCTCTTCATATTGTATTTTTATAGTTGTAACAAAACTAATTGGGCAATCTTTTATAGATTCAACCCATAGCTGAAACTTTTCAGAGCACCAATATCTAAAGGGAGAGAACCTAAAAGAAGTAGAGTTTTTTTCGTTCAAGAGGTTTAGTCCTGGTTCCAATCTAACTCTATAGCAGATTATGACGAGGTTATATTCTTTGATATTTATAGCAGCCAAACTTGGTCGCGAAATACATACCTATAATTTGTATCAAATATTCAAACATATTGATTATAATCATATGGGAGACTCTATCGTAAAATATTGATGTTGGGTGTAGGAACTGTCAAACGCTCCAGGTTATAGATTTGAGTTTTATATTTTTTACAAACTCTCTTCATACCTGACTAAAGTAAACCCATCCGTTGAGACCGAACCCATTAGTTTGCTCGCAAATATCGGGTAATGTTCTAGAAAAATTAGTTTACTAAAAATTTTAAATAAGAAATTTCAATATTCACAATAAAGATTCACCGAAAATACGCTTTATATCACTTTAAACATTTTTAAATAGATCGACACAATGGTATCAACTTTTTATTTATTGTGGAATTAGCCATTAAAGGTAACCCTTCATGCAATTTGAACTGCAAAGAACAGTTTTATACAAAAATCTGAACATAATTGCAGATGATTGTAATGTGTTAGTGGACAATTTATCCAAAAATTTTGTCAAAAAAGATTTAACGTTTTCAAAGTTACCAGATGATCAGAATTGGAAAATAAATTTCATTTATGAACAGCGAGATCTAAGATCAAACAATTTCTCTGTATCAATATAATATGTTTTTTATGTACTGACTGACAAGTGATATTCTATATTTACTTATGTTCCTCGTTTAAATGATGTCTAGTCCTAATTTATTGTACCATTGTTTGTGTGCGAAATAAACTTTAATAATTATGATAATGTCAATTCTCGTTTCACAACAGTACCCTGTAAAGCTTTATCTGATCAAAATTGTAGAATTCTGATAATATTTATTTATTTCTGCTGTAGAAATGCGCAAGTCACTTTTGAAGACACCCCACAATTAAAAATAATCTGTTTTCAACTTCGTAAAGATTGATATCTAATTCATACTTGATCAGACAAAGCTTTGAGGGTACCGTTGTGAATTGAGCATTGCAATCTTTGCATGGAGGGTAATTTGAAATTACGCTTACAATCCCTTTAATTGATAATTATACAATTTTTTTTTTATAAAAGTCGATTCCTAATCCGTATGTTCCGAGTCCGAATTTAATGAATTGGAGCCGCGTATTAAGTCCGCCAAAACCCGGTTTCAATTGAGCGCCGGCTTAAATCTTGAAACATCGAACACAATTTTATGTGGAACCAACCATATTTGAGCCGCGGCTCAAATTCTTTAAATTCGGCCTCAGGTCTCATTACATGGTATTTGTGAATATAAATACCTCAAATTACTTTATACTAAATTCCTTTTATTATTACAAATCTATATTGTATTCAGATGTATAGTGTACCACAAAGTTCCAGCAATGTTTCCGTTATCTCCTTTCAGTAAAAGTTTTGCAATTTCATGGAATTTTAAGTTTTATTCTTTTACATTAAATAAAAATATTTTGTAGAACTTTGTCCAGCTGTAAACCCCTTTAATGGTCAACTTTCAGAAGTAACATTGAAGTACACTTTGACTCCTAGAAGTATGAGTTCGTGGACTGTACAATTCTTGGTGATTTTGCGTACATAAGCTATCTATGTTTATTTATTTATCTATGGTTATAGGAATCTGCAACTATTGAGATGTATATTTGGAAAGAGAAGTGTAAGTGAAAAATACAAGGATTATGATGTCTAAAGATTATATGTACAGTACAGGCACGCCCAACCGGTTTACATTTGAATCCGAGCTGGGCCAACCTTTCCAGTCCTACTTTGGACTGTACCGCAAACTTACAATTACAAAAGCGGCAGAGGAGTGTGCAGGGATTGTATGGAGATGGCAAAACAATTTTAAAATATCAAAACATTTTTCAATTAAATCACATAGAAAAAGATAATTTTAGACTGAACAGTGACAAGTAATGGGTCAACTGTTAGATGAAGATTTCCTACTGAGGTTCAATTACTTCAATGGAGAAGCATAAATGGAAGGGAACAAATTATGAAAAGGTTACGTAGCTTGTAGTGTGTACTGTGTACAGTATCTTCATGTACAGTTATTAAAAAAGTTAAAAGTTTAAGTGAAAAAAAGTATTAATGACAAAAGTATTCAAAATTCCTGTGCCATTATTAAGTGTTGTTCTCACAAAGCAAATAGTTTTACTTTTAACTTATTAATTCACTTATTAAGTTAAATGGGTCTGTTTACACTGCTCATTTTCTGTGTTTCATAAATAAAGTAATGGGTGTCCCAATAAACATGGTAATTAAGAGACGACTTGAAAGTCGTATTTGCAATATCTCCGTCAATTTTGAAGATACAAAAATGGCAGACCACATTTTGAAAAACTCAAGACCATGCGTTTTCGATATTAGATGTTTGAACTGGAATACTGCTTTAAATCTGTTCGCGAAAAAATGCCGCATGGATCGAAGATGATATAAATGTCGTCACTCAATTTCCATGTTTATTGGGACACCCTGTATATAAAGTCATTACTTGAGTCTAAAAGCCGTCTCCATATTCCAAAGGTTTTATAGGTTTCACTGTAAATGTAAGTATAAGTACGTTTAAAAGACAGTATCTGACAATTTGATAAGAAACCCGTAAACCTCCAGTTAAGAGAGTCGAATGGTTTAGTTTTGCGGAGATTCTGATTTAGAATTCTCTAGGATAGGACGGAGAATATAATCTCGAATCCGGCTCCGCGGTTTCTCTGAATACACGGAGACAGGGGCTTACGCGCGCAAAGAGTAATGTTAAAAAAACACGTCACACATGATGACCATCTCTGATCTATCTCGAAAGAATATCGGATTGAAAGATAAATTCAGTTCATTTTATGTAGCCCATTCTTTCTATGGATAGTGGTCGTGTAGTTCACGTACTTTGGGGACGATATGTTGGCCGCGATATGTCTCATGCTAAATTCTTATCTGATAGATAGATCATTTCTCTGTACACTTGACGACCAATACATCAAGTTGTCGACCAATGAAGTTTATGGAAATAACGGCCTCATAAGTTCAAAATTATGTACAGGGTGTCCCAATAAACATGGAAATTAAGAGACGACCAAAACATAGTCTTCGATTTCTGATAGTTGATAAATGAAAAATAAATGTCAAAATAAAGACTCAAAGTCTTATGAGCTTTTGGAAATGTGGTCTGCCTTCTTTGGATCTTCAAAATTGACGGAGATATTTAACATAGGAAGATTTCGTTGTGATTGAATAAAAAGAATCTTAATAGCTCTTTCAATATTGAAGGTGCCAAGTAGACTACATTTTAGAATTCCCAAGACTAGAAGTTTTGATTATTAACTGTCTTACCTGGAATACTAGAAAAAACGTATTCACGGAATAATACAACGAGATACAAAGACGATATTATAGAAGTTGTCACTTAATTCCCATGTTTATTGGGACACCCTGTATGAGCCCAAATCGAACGGGAAAGACAACTCATCACTGGAAACTAGCCAGTATTAATAATACGACTTTGCGACCTCGTTGCTCCTCTAGTTCTGATTCTACGCACGGGTATAAGAACAGCTAATTTATTTGGTTACATGTTAGCTATTTAAAACATGTTAGCTATTTAAAACATGTTAGCTATTTAAAACATGTTAGCTATTTAAAACATGTTAGCTATTTAAAACATGTTAGCTATTTAAAACATGTTAGCTATTTAAAACATGTTAGCTATTTAAAACATGTTAGCTATTTAAAACATGTTAGCTATTTAAAACATGTTAGCTATTTAAAACATATTAGCTATTTAAAACATATTAGCTATTTAAAACATGTTAGCTATTTAAAACATGTTAGCTATTTAAAACATGTTAGCTATTTAAAACATCTTTTTTCTTAACAATAGCTCTTAAATACGAGGAGTTATGACGTGAATTTTACGTTAGTTTGGCGTGCCCTCAGACCATCCCACGTCACGTGAGGAATTTTGTAATATTACGCCCAAAAGGAAAAAATTTGACACAAATTCAAACTTATAATCCCTATATCTATGCAACCAAATGTCGTAGATCTTTGATATTTCAAACTATGAATTCTGTTAGCCATAAAGTCTAATTTACAATCAAAAGTTGAAGAAAGTTTAAGCCTTAAAATGAAATGAATGAGTCCAAGAAGTGTAAGGAAAAAATGTATTTATACAGCATAAAAAGAAACAGATAATATTCGATACTACACTTATTAGAATCAAGCCGTAGCTTTTGACGGACTGTCCGCCTTTCTTCCGCTTCATCTGGCGAATCAACATTCCTCCTTCGATTTTTCGTCGATACTGTCCTCTATTCGGCTTTAGCCTGGGCAGTCCTATTCATGCCACCTCGTGGAGCGAGGTTCTTGGGTTGAGTTTAAGATAAAACATGAGTTCAACATCGACTTGGGGTTTTCATAAATATCTTAAATACATATATGCACGAGGCGGTTTATTATTCACCCTACTTCTATCGCATATACAAAGAGCAAATAAGCTGCCATGTTTATAGACTGGACTACTTGAAATCTGAGCTTAGCTTAGCGTATGAGAACTGAAATGGGTTACATCAATAGAACTATCCAATCTGAGCTTAGCTCTGGGTTGGCATGAGAACTGAAGGGGTTACATCAATAGAACTATCCAATCTGAGCTTAGCTATGGGTTCGCACGAAAACTCAAGGGGTTGCATCAATAGAACTATTCAATCTGAGCTTAGCTCTGGGTTCGCATGAGAACTGAAGGGGTTATATCAATAGAACTATCCGATCTGACCTTAGCTCTGGGTTCGCACGAGAACTGAAGGGGTTACATCAATAGAACTATCCAATCTGAGCTTAGCTCTAGGTTCGCATGAGAACTAAAGGGGTTACATCAATAGACCTATCCAATCTGAGCTTAGCTGTGGGTCGTTTTAAGAACTTAAGGGGATACGTCAATGGAGCTAGTGAGACCATGCTGGTTACACTAAGTTTGAAATATCAAAAGTTTAAACCATCAGGTTTCAAAGAAATAGCGATTGGAAAATTTGAATTTGTGGCAAAAACTCATTGAAAACAGAAGGAAAACTGAATCTGAATCGGAATATAACACCGAGCCTTGTTAAAAAATAAAATGAAGAGGAATAAATCTATTTATCATGGAAAATTATTTTTCGAGTTGGCCGGGACTGTTGACGTGAATTCGACCCTTCAATCAAAGCATGACGCAAAATTTCTCACTAGAACATCAGTATTTTGCCAATTATTTTTTGTAAACTGAAGATAGAAAAACGAGGAGTTTGTA